ATGCCTTTCTCTTTTCCATTATTTCCTTTTAATTGTTCATTTGTCACCATCCCTCTCACATGTGCAGTGGTAGGTCTCTCGGAGAAAACAAATAAAGGGGCTGTAATTTGGAAAGAGTTTGCAGTGGTGTCTTCTGCTGTGGCTGCCAGGACACCCTTCTTTCCTCCAGCGCAGGCAGAAAGCCGGTCATGGATATTGATCAGAAGTAAAAAGAAATTGCACGTAAGAAAAAGTAGTTTCAAAAAGCTCTACTTTTATGGGCCTCTAAAATAACTGAAATTCAAGAAGTAGTTCTGAAATGTGGGTCTAGTAATTGAGAAGTGATGTACAGGAGATGGGTTGAGAGCATTTATGTACGGGTTGTGTTGTAGCACAGAAGCAAGGAGGATGTGCATCTGGCAATGTAATGTGTGTAACACTGGTAAAGGTGGGCTGTTGGGTTTTTTCTTCGGGTGTCTGTTCTGTTCTATTTTATCTCAAGTTTATAAGTTCTTTGGGGTAGGAATTCCTAGTTTTGTAGCAGTGAGGGGAATGCTTTCACATTAGATGCAAGTCAAGCAGAACTTTTCATCATTTTCTCACAAATTCTTCTTTATTTGTTTCTTTAGTCTGCTGTAAGGTGTAAAATTTCTGCATATAATGGATATGCTATATTAATAGTTTCCTTTATTAAAAAATAAAGTCCATATTCTTTGTGATATGTTTTAACTATCCCTTGCAATGGGAGTAAGTTTTATAATCTTACTCATAGCCAGTTAAGTTATACTGAGGATGTTGAATGAATTGCAAAAAAAATTTATTGCTGTTCAGTGCTGTCTATTTAATGGGCCATTAGGCCTGGCTATTCTTTGTGTGAATATTGTATAATATTAAAAGAAAGCAAAGGAGTATTAGACTCAATTGGGCCATTATCTTGTTACAGATATGTGTGCAATTTAAGGTGATACCATGATCCTATGAAACTACCTGCCCTTGTGTACTTTTTCAGTATACTAAGGTTGTAATTGCTACTATGGGTAGTCGTAGGTCTTTGTAAGAAATAGATCTGCATTGGTGATGAAAAAGTAGATTTGTGGAAAGCAATTGAAATGTTTGGAAACCACAGACATGATCGTTGAATGTTACTCAGTTGTTTCCCAGGAATAAGGAGGTTGTGTCTAGAGGTTCTCAAAAATGTCATCAGTGCCTTGGTATCTCATGGCCTTCAGGCATTTGTCAAAGACCGCAGTTTTCAAAAGATTGGATGCCTCAGCAGTTTCAGTCAAGACGTCTTAAAATAACTTCAGTCAGACTCCTCTTTCTTCCACCACCCCCCAAATGAGGTCTGCTGTTAGCACATAAGGGAGGTCTGGTTTTATCAAATGTCTTTTTTAATGTATTTAGCCTTTCTAAATTGTCTTTCTAAATTGCAAATAGCGTGGCAGGAGGCTAACTGAGTTGCAGTAATTCCAGTAAAATTTGACTTTTACTATCCAAAGGAATGGGAGGGATGAGACCATATCCCACTAAACCATGAGATGTTTTCCAAATGTTTGCCATCCTTACCTGTCTTAGTAAATGGCAGTGTCCTTGCTGAGATTTCTGCTTCTTTGCCGCCCACCCTATGGTGGTGTTGCCCCACTGCTCTCTGTCACCTCCCAGCTCTGCTCCCTCACCCTGGGCTGTCACAGCCGCCTCCCGGCCACCAGCGTGGGACGGTTTGACAGCTCTCCTGCAGCTCGCGGCTCGTGCTCCAGGTTAAGGCTTGTGCTCTGCTTCGTGCTTCAGCGTTTGAACTGGTTAATCCTGGTTGGTAAGACGCCTGTGTGTGAAGATGATAGTCCAAAGGTTCCATTGCTTCTATTTCATGTGTTAATTTGCAGATTGGTATTTTATATTTTTATTTGTGGTTTTAGTATTTTATTTCAGTTCCTTTAAAGAACTTTGTTACAGGATCTAATTTTTTTAATGAAGTTGTGTCATTTTTATTTCTGAAATACTCTCCCCAAATGCATTCATGATGATATCTAAAGGGAAGGCACCTATCGTAAATCCCAACTAACTAAATATGCCGCAAACATTAAAAGCAGTAAAGATGAGGATGGAGTCTGAGTGGTACAGCCTGAACATTGAGGTTCTGGTTTGAACGCTGCTGGACTTGCTGAGCCTCTGTCAGTGCAGAAAGGTGCTGCTGGGATATCTGTAGATGCGGCTGGCCACACCAGGAGGAGATGGACAGGGTGGCAAGCAGTAGGTCTGCACCGGGGGGTGTTGTAGTTCCAAAGGGGTGTCTTGTAGTCCTAGTGGCCTAAACGTAGTGTCTTAAAAATTGAGCATTATCCAATTTAGAACATCTAAATACATGTAAATACAGAGATTAAAAACAGCTTGAGTCTTCCTAACCTATTTCAGAAAGCAGAGCTGTATCTGCAGAAAACATCTACTGTAATTGGTTTGGCACGCTCTCGCAATTGAAAGCAAAGTAGGCAGAAAGAATAGATGAACTGCCAAATAAAAGTAATAAACAGTAATTTGCCAATTTTGAGTCCTTTACAGAAAGTTTTCTTGATACTTATCCAGATATCCAGTCTTGATAAATGTTTTTGACGTTTAGATTGGAGATGGGGGAGAATTCTGGTGTTTTGGACAGAAAAACACACTTGCCTGGGTCATAACCCGTACTAAGTATAATAAAGGCCTTGGACAAAAATAGTGTAAGACACATAGTGGTATCAAGAAATTGAGTTTAGAAGAGTCTAGCATTAAGGTAAAAGAAATTGGTAGTTGTTTCCTAATAAAAGACTGCTTTCACTGAAATCAAGTAATGCATTTCATTTGTTTGCCATGGAAACAATTGCAAAGCAGTGCAAGTGAATTGCTCTGCTAAAGCCAGAAATTCGCTTATCGTTCTGGAAAACATTCCCATTTTAAAGGTACATCAGTTCTGTTTCCCTCCTGATAGTAATTTTGAATTTACTATCCATTTAGCAAAGGAGAGGGCAAGCGAGCATTGAATTTGAAATTACATATTCTGGCCTCATGAAAATTTCATGGTTAAAATAAATAAATAAAAACTTTCCAGAAGTGAAGCGCTGCGGTTGTCTAAGAGGTCGTATCTCCTCTTCACTCACTACCATCATCATAAGCAGCTATTGATTAAGTTGAGGAGCTGCTTCATCTTCAGCACTCTGGATGGGAGGTGGTTTCTGGAGAGGGCTGCACTAAGGGGTGTTATGGTCTCCCTTTCTCCCTTGCTTTTGCCCTCCTCTGCCCCCCTTATTCTTTTTTTTTTTCTTCTGTATTTTTTTAATCATACATCATCAGTTACTCATGTCTATTTTTAAGGCTGTTTTATACATTGTAGTGATTTTTCTGTGGGCAGTCATTAATGAAGATAGATTGTAGATAGATATAACAAAATATATAGAATGTAAGGATTGACAGATAATTGAAAGTGGTTTTCTTAATGCCAATGTCTAAATTCCACGGAGTTTGATTTAAATATATGGAATATTTTGACACAGGATGTTTTTAGCCCAATAGATTAATGCTTTGTTTCAATAAATTTTCTTCCTGTCCAGCACAACAGAACTTCACCCAGTAAAGAGTTTGTGTCGTGGTAATGGTTTCAAAATACAAGTAGCAAGCTGCTGAACAAAGAAATCTTAGTAGAGACAAATCCAGCTTTAAACCTGGATAAACCGTCTTGTTGAATTTTGCTTGGCTACTTACACTGTCCCGTTGTGCTGCGTTTAGATTAAGGGTTTGGTGACAGGAGATGAAAGTTTGTGATCTGCTGTAGCTGGGAGGGCGAGATGCGCTAAATGCAACATTAAAGAGTTCTTCTGTGCTTTGGTCTGTCCTAATGCGAGTTGTCAGGTGCTTTTTGTTTGTTGGGGTTTTTTTGCTGGAAAAAGCATAAATTTATTTTATCATAAACTCAATCATTTGAAAATACTTTGAACTAGAGCAATTTTTTCCTGCAGTTTGGTTAAAAATAGCATGTCCTAGGGACAGAGGAAGCAGCTGTGTTAAAGTATCTGCGTATTGCTACATTTTCAGGATTTCTATTAATGATACAAAGCCAGTTGAAATGACATCCATTACATATTTGTCCAAGCAAGTGGAAAAGAAAAATAAACAATGTGGTGCTAGAGAATCCATTAGGCTCGTGTGTCTCTGCCTGTCTTTCCTAATCAGAGGAGCTGATACCTATATTGTACCTGCAGTTATTTCTGTAATACATCTACATCACTCTGAGCAGCACTCAGCCAGTGAGGTTTGCCTGCCTGAGATGTATTCTTACTCATCTTTACTGTTTTGTGGTTCATATTTATGCAGATAAAATTTGCATCTTCAGAGCCTTTGCACGCTCTGAAGAATGCGTAATGGTTTGTAAAATGATACTTTCTCCGTGAAAAGAAGCAAAGTTAGACTTCAGATAGCAAATAGATAACTTCATTTATTTCATGACCATAAATATTCCTGTAATAATGACAAATATTCCCAAAGGAGAAGATAACTATAAATAAAGTAGGTGATAGAAAAATCTTTCTTTATTAATGCTTATGCTGTTGGAATCAGCGAGTGCCACCCTGCTACACCATAGCTTACAATTTTTCCTCCATTTGTCTGTGATTACTGTTGTCATACAGCTTGAGCCAGGATTGTATCTGAAGTTAATAATATAAATGAATATGGCATGTGGTGATCGTGTTCCCTACCTTGTCAGCACTTTTGTCCTCCTGTGTCTTTTGCTAACCTTTGTTTTCCAGGTATCTTACCCCATTCTTTTCTGGACAAGTCTGTTAAAACACAAATTATAAATGACTATTATGAAACACTGTATTTTTACAATTAAATGTCTTTATTATTTTAATAATTATTAAAATCTATCTTTTCTACTTAAATAATCTGTACAAAGGGTGGAAGGGTCTTCAATTTTAGTAATTTTAATGAACTGTTTTTCTCTCATAGTCTTGGATATGGCCCGACACGTTCCCCTTTACCGAGCTCTGCTAGAATTGCTCCGTGCTATTGCGTCCTGCACATCGATGGTACCGTTGCTGCTTCCACTGTCAGGAGAAAGCAGTGAAGAGGAGGAGGAACAGTTGGAATCACAAGCTTCTGTTGGGACTTTGTTGGCTAAGATGAAGACCTGTGTAGATACCTATACCAACCGACTGAGGTAGTCACTTTTATCATCCCTAACCTTCATTTAAACCCTATTTTGTACTTATATTATGAATATAGAAGTGAAAGAAGACTCAGATCTGTATATTTATCTGAGTGGGTGCTGCAGTCCAGGAGCATTCCTTCACAGCTGGTGAAGAAGCCTGTTTGGTAAAGAATGGGATTAGGGAAGGCCAACCCAAATGGTAGTTTTTACAAGAAATGTCCTAACTGTCTTCTATGTGCTTCTTTACCACTTTACCCATGGAGTAAGGACCAGTTTCCTTGGTGGATTCTCCATCAGAGGCTGACTGGTTAGGAGAGGAGCCTTTGGCTTCTGTTGGGAAGAATAAGTTTCAGGAAGCAAAAGATCTGGGAATTATTTGTGGTGAGAACCCTAACTATATAGAGATGGTTGAAAAATTTTGACTAATGGTGTCTGATGCTAAATATGAAAAGCACGTTTCTATACATCGGTGATTTTATGACAGCTAGCTTGTCCATTAGCACAGGCATCAAAGGTGACTGCTACTCATAAGCCCTTCTTAATCTGGTCAAATAAAATACAGTATAACTGGTTATTCAGTGACAGCTTAGGATCTGAAAAACAAGAACAATTCTAGAAGCACAGTCGGTATTATTTTAATAATGGATGAGTTTGATAAAGGTTCTGTGGTTGGTTCAGTTACATTTTCTGTACTATTTTCTCGTATTACTTTGATATATCAGCACAAAAAGAAATCTTGTCTTTCACTGGTTGATTTAAGCATAATACCGTTTGTCTTTAAAGCGGTATATAGACAAGGATGAAAACACCAACAGCCTGAACAGCCTGGAATCACTGGGGTGAAAGGTTTTAATTCTCAGCATTTCAGTTGAAGGTTTGCCAGCAATCTAAGCAAGCGTTGGCATGAATTTCTTAAATGGGACAATCTGCTGCCCCTTTTAGGTCAAATGCCAGAACAACAACATTATTATGGCATCTGCTTTCAAAGACAAAACTCTCCTTCATCTGAACAGCAGTGCCACTTGCATGTCTACCAAATGGCATCTCTGTGTTGGAGCAAGTGTGGCCACTTGGGTCCAGAATTCGAAGGGGAACACTTTTGGGTTTGGATTCCAGTTAGCGTTTGATTTCATTTACTTTCAAATGCTGTAATAGTGTTTTGGAAAATTGGGGAAATTCTGGATAATGGAGAAGATCTTTAGATATGAGATGATTGCTCAGGACCGTTTGCTGGACTGCTAGGGAGTCAAAAGCCATCACAAATTTAGAGTTGTCAGGCTTGTGTAAAGGATTGCCACCAGGGCTGAGTTTGAGGCATTTGCTACGATGACTGAGCCCTCTACTGCAGAGAGCTGCTGCTGCTGTGGAGCAAAGCAGGCTCCTCTGAACCACCATCCGCTAGGTGAGCTTCCTGGCAAAGTGTTAAATTTGGCAAAACAAGCTGATGGCTTATTTGTGTAATGTGGAATATAGCAAACCTGTGTCTAAAACTCCTAACTATGCTTTCCCTTTCCACATTGCCCAGCCACCTCCATGATAACTGCTTGAGAGAGATAGGAGTTCTGTCACCTTCACCCTTGTGTCGCTTGCCGTGCTGCTACCCAGGGTTGATCCTGTCAGTGCTGAGGCTGACCGAATGTCCCAGCCCTGCCTCTCACGCTGGTGTCATGACCTGGGTATTTTCCTGTTGCGTGTAGGTGCTAGCATACAACCTGGTCGGTCTGAGGTGTTTTCCCTGCTTGGGAGAAGTGTTCTTTCACTGTTATTTTGCAGAACTTGTGTGAAACAGTGCATTTTGCAAACCAAAACTTTTCTTTATAATTGAGGTCTAATTTGTTTGAACTTATTTTTCTTTCAAAGACAAAACAGCTGTCAGTTTCTTTCGCTGCACTCTCAAGCTCCTGTTGGGAGCTGATGGGTGACTGCAGGGAGTGGTCCTGCAGCATTTGCTGTTTCACACACACAGAATATTAGGAGTTGGAAGGGACCTCGAAAGATCATCCAGTCCAACCTCCCTGCCAGAGCAGGATCACCTAGACTAGGTCACACAGGAACGCGTCCAGGTGGGTTTTGAATGTCTCCAGAGAAGGAGACTCCACAACCTCTCTGGGCAGCCTGGTCCAGTGCTCTGTCACCCTTACAGTAAAAAAGTTTTTCCTCATGCAGAGGAGATGCTGAGAATTCAGCCCCAAAACTGAGCCCTGGGGAACACCGCTTGTGACTGGTCGCCAACTGGATTTAGCTCCATTCACCACAACTCTCTGTGCTCAGCCATCCAGCCAGTTTTTAGCCCAGCAAAGCGTATGCCCATCCAAGCCATGCCCAGCCAGCTTCTCCAGGAGGATGCTGTGGGAGACAGTGTCAAAGGCCTTACTAAAGTCCAGGTAGACAACGTCCACAGCCTTCCCCTCGTCCACCAAGCAGGTCACCTCGTCATTAAAGGAGATGAGATTGGTCAAGCAGGACCTGCCCTTCTTGAACCCATGCTGACTGGGCCTGATCGCTTGGTTGTCCTGCATGTGCCGTGATTGAAAAACCCAAAGCCCTGCCTGTTGCATCAGTCTCTGAGCCAGGCATTGATCTGTTGGCTCTTTCTGTTTATCACCTCAGATCTCCCTGCAACTGGTGGGATAGAGGAGAACACTACTTGTGCTCCAGATCCCTTAATCAGTTGTCTCGAGCCCTTGAAATCCCTTTTCATTGCTCTCAAACTACTTGTAATCTTTTCACTGCCCACCTGAAAGACCACCAATGGATAGTAGTCAGAGGGTTTAACTGGGATAGGTAGTTTTTTCTGAATGTCCGTAACCCTGGCACGTGGGAAGCAGCAAACTTCCCTGAGGAGTTGGTCT